ACCCAACCCTCCCTTGATTTGCCTCACCAACCTGTTTACATCAGATAAAAAGACCCCTCAGATTTTCTTAATGTTCCTCAATACCCTATAGCTCTCTGACATTTAAAGGACCTTAAACCCATAATTTACAAAGCTCCTCAATGCAGGCCCATTAAGCCCCGTCCACTCTTCCTACAACACACCCATTCTGCCAGTTATTAAACCCGATAGCAGCTACCAACTTGTTCAAGATCTTGGCGCCATCAACTCTGCTATCTTGCCTATCCATCCTGTTGTTCCCAATCCTTACACTCTGTTCTCCACTATCCTACCAATACTAGTCATTATACAGTTTCAGATTTAAAGTGTGCTTCCTTGACTATCTCTTTTGATAAAAGGTCTCAAGACCTTTTCTTCTTTACCTGGGCAGATCCTGACACCCTACATTCTCAACACATGTGTTGGGGAGTCTTGCTTCGGGAGTTCATAAACAGCTCTCATTTATTCAGTCACCCCCTAGCAACCAATCTCTTGTCTTTCAACCTTTCCCCCAGTTTTCTCCTCCAGTATGTGGATGACCTACTATGTAGCTCCTCCCTTCTGGACTCACAGCATCACACCAATGTACTTGTAAACTTCCTAGCAGTTAGAGGGTACCAAGTGCCCCCTGCCAAGGTCCAACTTTCTCTCCCTCTGTCATCTACCTGAGAGTCCAACACACAAAACCCTCCAGAGAGATTAAATTAGACAGAAAGCAGCTTCCAACTCCCTCTAATAAAGCTGCAATGCTCTTCTTTTGGGGCTTTGTGGGCTATCTCATGCTGGGGATTCTCAATTTTAGCATGTGAGCTAAACCCCTCTATGAAGTGGCAAAAGGGGGATCACACTGAGCCTCTAGATGCAACAATATCTATTGAAAACCCATACAAAGCACTTCAGCCTGCCCTGCTCTCATCTCCTGCTCCTTCTCTCCCTAATCTAATCATCCCTTTCACTCTACACGAGACTGAAACGCCTGGCATGGCTGTGAGAGTCCCAGGCCAGGAAATCGGACCCTCCCTTGCTCCTGTAGCTTATCTATTTAGTCTACTAGACCCCATGTCACAATATGGGCCCCATGTCTATGGGCCTTGGTGGCAGCTGCTCTCCTAACCCAAGAAAACTCAAAAATTACCTTTGGCCTGAAGACCTGTATTAGATTCCCCCTATTATTTATGTGACCTAGCCTGCATTAAGGAGTTTTGAAACTGTGGGGTTAAGGTGCTTTAAGTGTCAGAGAGCAATAGGGTATTGAGGAACATTAGGAAAATATGAAGGGTCTTTAATCTGATGTAAACAGGTTGGTGATCGAATCGAGAGAGGGTTGAGTGACATCTTAAATGTGTGGATTAACCAGAGCAAGTGGTAAAGGAAGGGAATCGGAATAGGGTGTGTCAGGACACTGGAGTTTTTTGGTGGTGGTGGGGAGGGCAGGAGGAGCATCCGGTGTAGCTTATAAGAGAAGCAACATGTTTCGAGCCCAGGAGGCCCCCAGTTAATGAAAAGTTACTACTGTTTTGAATTTAGTAAGAATATCTGTGCCCAGCAGAGTGGCAGGACATTTGGGGATGACTAGACTGGTGTGAGAATTGTACCTTATAAAGGCTACATGCAAGTGGCCATGTAATGAGGGGTTGTGAGACTATACCTGAGAGTCAGACAATGGTGGTGGGCACTACAGAAGTTTGTCCTGAATGTTCAGGTAGTGTTGAATAAGTGACCCCCATGTCTAAATGTAAAGAAATAGGCTTATTTGAGACAATAATTGTTACCCCGGGCTCATGATAGGGGATCTCTGTGGGCACTGTCAATCCTCAATCGCTGGTCCTAGAAGCCCTGGCATTGAGGTGTCTTGAGCTAGTTACTCTGGGGGTGTTTTGGAAGAGACTATCCTTCCTGCTTGCTGGAGAAAAGGGCAATCCCAGTGTCCTCCTTGTATGCAGTGTGGGTAAGCTTCAGCGGGGAACGAGGATTGTAGCATTCATGTGCTCATTGTCCCATCTGGGAACATTTAAAGCAGGGTCCAGGTGGCTTACCCATTTGTGGCCCAGTGTTTATAGGTCTGGATTCATGCTACCCTGAAGGGTGTTAGCTAGCATCTGATATTTAGCCATGCCTCTTTCTAACTTTTCTTGTTCCTTTCTATTATTGAAAACCTTAAAGGCCGCATTGAGGGGGGTCTCAAGGTGGAGTTTGAGGACCATCCTCAAGCTGTTTTACGTTTTCTCTTAATGCTGCGAACTGGATGAGAGAGAAAGTGAGGCTGGAGTAAAGCAGTGTCCCCTGGTGCTGAGGGATCAACCCTGGTGAACTTAGGAAAAGCCTCTAAGAGGCAAGAGAAAAACTGGGCAGGATTTTCTTTTGGATCTTGAAGGATTTCTCTAATTTTCTCATAATTGACTACTTTATTGGCTGTGATTTTCTAAGGCCTCCATGAGATACATAACCATTTCATCTCAGAGAGTGTCGTCCCCATGACTGAGTTGATAAGTCCAGTTAGGGTCTTGTTGGGGAAGTGCCTCAGAGCCCACTGGGTTCTTTTGGTCCTGGGCATCAATTTCTGTGTCTCTGTGCTGGGCCACTACCCAGACTCTCTCCCTGTCTTGGTGGCGGCGTGGGGGTGGTGGTGGTGGTGGTAAACTAGTTGTAAGAATAATATAAATATTTTTCCAGGTTCAGTCATAAGACTGAGTGAGATATTTGAACTCTAATATAATTGTCCAGATCAGAGGGGGAAAATTCCAGATGTTTTGCGAGGACTGATAAGTCAGAAAGAGAAAAAGGAAAATGCACTTTAACGTGTCGCTCAGTTGCTGCCACCTCGTGGGAAGGGAGAAGTGGGGCAGGGTCTGGAGTTGAACTTTCAGATATATGGAAGAGACTTTTGAACTGGGAAGAGCTGAGTGCGACGGGTGTGGCGTGGAGACGGGCAGCAGAGGGGAGGGAGGAGACTGCACAGAAGATGGCAGCAGTGCGAGGAAAGATGGGTACACAGAGGAAGGAGGAGTGGTCAATGGAGGTTAAGAGGATGGCAGGTCGGAGGAGGTGGAAGAAGTCAGGGGGTTTAAGGACGAGACTGGTGGAAGTTTGTAAGGAGGAGAGAAAGCTGGAGCAGACAGTGGAGGAGAAGGAAGGGGAGGGGCAGCATGTGCTGTTTGGACAGAAGAACATCCTTGGCAGTGTCAAAGAAAAATTGTCTGGGAGACAGGGTAATTCCTGAGCCAGCAATTGGGGAAATGTTGACACAGGTGGGGGTGAGAACTAAGAAAAAGGTCTGCACATAGGAAACTTTTAGGAATTTGCCATGAAGCTGACGTAACCTATTGAGCTTCAGGAGGACTTTTAAATCAAGATTGCCATCTTGTAGCCATTGTGAGTCATTATCTAATTTGTATTGAGGACAGATCTGTTTATAAAAAAAGTTAGATATTTTGGTTTAATGATTGAGTTCAGTCTTGTGACTGGGGCTGGGAAAGTCCCCTGTATTCTCCTGATTGGCAAGTTTGAATGAAGGGAGTTCAGGGGACCCTCAGACACATAGGAAAGGCTTTTGGAATGTGGAGGGAAATGTGGGAAGTGGGGAGAACTTGTGAGGAAAAAGCATGGAATGGAGATGTTTAGAATGACAAGGCACTGTTTCACACTCAGCTGAGCCCACCATCCTAATAAAATGGTTTGGGAAAAAATATATTGTTATTCTCTGTCTCTGCACTTTAACAGAAATTTATGAAGTCATATGGAATTTCCCAGTGAATTTTATTTACAAACATCTTCAAACTGGAAAATACAGTGATTTGTGTGGTTGCTTTGAAACAGTGTCTGACCAATAGGAAGTTGTAAAGGGGTTAGGATCAGTCTCAGTTTTTATAAAAGTTTTAATAAATAGGTATTCTTCAACATGATCTAGAATAGTAACCTTAAAACAAACCTGCTTAGTGATGAAACATTTAAAGCTGTCCATTGAATCATCAGGAACAAACCTGACTTGCCTGATCTCATCATTGCATAACTTATATTATCATTAATATTGAATTTTGTCTTGAAAATGTTTTAGAAAAAAGAAATTAGCACATGTGTTATATTATAACATCAAATAGTTCTACATACAGTTCTTAGGATCACTCTTCCAGTGAGCCTATCATTGAGGATTTTCCCCTTTGTAGGAAAATTATTTTTAATTTGGGACTGTATTTATATTCTTGGAGATACTGGACATACCTTGCAGAGGGGTAGTTGGGAGATGAGTCACTTAGGGTTCAGTATAGCAATAATGAAACCCACAACTTTCCTCTAGTTCTTTAACGCTTCCTCCCCCCAACTACCATGACCCCAATTCTGCCTTACAGACCTGGCTAGACCAGAGGATGCACAGCGGTATAGATGGGAACTGGAAATGCGGGGAATCTAGGACAGATGAACCCCTCAGTACCAGGGGTGACAGTGGCGATACCAGGAGAGAAGGGGGGATAGAAAGGGGGAATTGATCACAAGGGTCTACATATAACCTCCTCTCTGGGGGAC